TTGATAATTTTTTTTTTTTTACAGAGGATCAGTTTAGTATGCATTAAGTAAAGATTTCAACAGTTTGCACCCCCATAGAAACACAAAGTGAAATATATTGTTTGAGTACTCGTTATAGCATTAAATCTCAATGCACAGCACATTAAGGACAGAGATCCTACATGAGGAGTAAGTGCACAGTGACTCCTGTTGTTGACTTTACCAATTGACACTCCTGTCTATGGCATCAGTAATCTCCCTATGCTCCAGGCATGAGTTCCCAAGGCTATGGAAGCCCCTTGAGTTCTCCGACTCTTATCTTGTTTAGACAAGGTCATAGTCAAAGTGGAGGTTCTCTCCTCCCTTCAGAGAAAGGTACCTCCTTCTTTGAATACCCTTTTTTTTAAAAAATAACAGGATTTACAAATATGTCTTAAGAATTAAGTCTCCAGTCACCCTACTAAATCAATTGTAGGATTTATTATCTAAAGACACAGAGAAGTATTCATGATTTTCTTGCATTCAGGAACTTTTTATTTTCTTAAATTCAGCATCAGGGTCCCTAGCTAAATTATTATAATAGTACATTGGCTAAGACTTATAATTGAATATCATTAGTTTTTATTATTTTGTGTGTCTCTTAAAGTCAACAGCACATTTACAGATTATTATTTCAAAATTATCCAATTGTTAAAATCCAAAGGATAATACATTTTTTCCTAACAGCACAACTTGGGAAAATATACTCATCAATGATGCCCAGTGAAATTAAATAAAAAAAAAAAAATAGAGTAAACTTGGTGAACAACTACCATATATAAGAACCTAGAGAAGAGTTAAATATAATTTAAATTTTATTTTAAAGCAAGATACAATTATTTTCATTCTATCCTAATCCATTTCTGCAATGCCAAGATGATGTTTGAAAATTAAGGAGTATTTTGAGTTTCTCAGAGAATGCCAAATAATTGGTCTGAGTTCAATCTAACTAAATTGCCTAATAAGCTAATTTTACTATGGCTTTTTGGCTAAATAAACAGAACTAAAATCTATCAATAAATGAGACAAAAATTAAGTTATTTTTTATACTGGGAAGTATGACATTATATTTTAAAGATCTTAAAAACATTACATGAATCAAAAACCAAACTGACTTACTAGGAACTTTTGTAGAAAGTTATAATCTAATCAAAAAGTATTTAGAAACATAGGGTAATAAAAGAAAAGTTTGAAAATGTTCACCTTCAATTTATTTCATAGGTCACTGTTATACCATCTAATAAGATAATTAAAAGCATGCAAGCAGCTGGTACTGCAGCTAGACAGATTAATGTAATAGTCTGTAGTCCTATGTGCTGGCAAGGGCTCATCTCTTTTGGTGAGGAGAAGGTCAGTTGCCCTTGGGAAGAGAAGGGAGAATGGAGAAACAGTATTTTTTCCACCATGTGGCCATGTGTGCTACATTCACTAAGTTGTTTAACTGCAGCACATACAGGAAACTCTCTTGCTTCACATCCGGCAGTGTTCTCTCACATGTAACTTGACAAAAAACATGTAGCATTTGTCTGTAAAACCTGTAAGATGTATTTCATAAAACTAATAATATATTCTCAATACTAAAACATCACTGCAAATTAGTTGGAAGCCAAATAATTAAATTTAAACCAACACTTCCAAAGCAAGATGTGGCCTAAAACCATTCAGGCATCATATAACCCCGTACAAGTGTCTCAGGAGTTAAACCCAGTTGTTTTCTACCTTCTGAATCAATGAAGAAAAACACAAAGAAATACAAATCATAGTAAAACCTCATAGGCCATAAAAATAAATCTGTGAGTACTAGACATATGAAGGTATAGTTGGGGTCCATGGATTTTAAATTTCATGATTTATTTGTTGTAGTTCCAGATATCACCTCTAAACTTACACTAATAGTAACATATATTTGCTTTTTATCAAGTACATAAATTTGCTATATAAAGAAAACTTGAAATAATATATCAGAGATTTAGAGTTTTAATAAAAGCTACAGGTTAAGCTAATTCTTAGCTGTCTTTCAGGTAATAAAGCTATTTTTCTATAAGTCATACTGCTTGTCTTTTCTTGTTGGCATTTCTAGCCTACTACACTATAAAAATTTCATATAATATCAAATTGTTAATGATAACAATGATGATGATGATGGAACCAACTAACACAAAAATAATCATTATTTAGTATTTACCAAGTGAACATTATCCCATAAACCCCTCATGCCAACTCTATTTTATTATCCCCACTTCCAAAGTGAGGAAATGGATATAAAGACTGTCCAAAGTCTTCAAAGTATTTTAAGCAACACATTATGTTTAGATATTATTTTCAAACAATGACAAACTATGCATCCTTAAAACTAACAATCTAATGCTACATTATAAAAATAACGAAAAAAACCAGTCATTTCCATAACCAAAACAAGACAGAATTAAAAAATTAATAAAACTTCAACATATGCTGAAAAAGGGTGAATGTGTTAGAGGGTGAACATCAAGGAATAAAGCTTTCTGTTTGCATGGGGTTAGTGCAAACAAATGCATAATATGATGGCTTTGCATTTATATTTTCGAAAGCTTTATTTTACATATTTTACCCCAGTATTTAAAAAAGTTGTGGGAGGGAAGCAGATCAGACAATATAATGCTCTTTTTACAGATGAGAAACTAAAGCAAATCTTTACCCTGGACATAAGCTCTAGTATGTCAGTGGTAGGCTTAAGGTCTGAGCTGTCTGATTATAAAGAAAGATTAGGATCTGTGGCAGTTTAAATAGCTTTTACACAAAATGACTTCCAAATATTGGAAAATTTATGTTTTTTCTAATAACCTGTTACTAGTTTAAAAGAGCTATAATGGAACAGAAAAATAATTTTCATTTTCTAGAGCAAATTTTACTAATAATACTGTTGCTATTTTAATATGATCCTGCTACATTTTTCTAGGCTTTGTCTGTTAACATTATTAAGAGAATATACACCAGCACTGTGCTTCTATGAATTCTACATTTAACCCAATGTCAAATTAACAAGTAAGCTCATTAAATTGTAAGAGCTACTGACTACTGCCTAGAAAAATATTAATTTCACACCTTAAACACTATCATACTATTTAATAGTAGTGTTGGCCTACCAACTATTAAAAGACTGCTTTTACATAGTGTACTTTATTACCTGAACTTTTTATCCTGCCTTTTTATTACAACAATAAACTAATATGCTAACATTACAACAATGAAAAGCATTTATTAAAAATATTTAGTGAATAACATTAGTATTTATTGTGCAAAGTTACCTTAGGAAATTTTCAAAACATAATCATAACTCAGTAATACTAAGATATTTTAATCTTTAAATATTAAAGGACAAAATAAACTAAAAGATAACATTATATCTTCACAATACAACATTTCTCTTTATATTGTCTGTTATTTATTATAATTAAACTACAAATGAAACTGTAAGATAGAATTCACCAGCAAAATTTATACACATATGAAGACATTTTTCTGCTCCTGAAATTCATGCTCTCCCTGCATTTTGACTTGGTGATTTTTATTATATTTACCCTTCTTAGAAGTATTGCCATCAGATAGTTCACATATTATCACATTAACATTCCTCAGTCACATGTTAAATCATATAACTATCTTTTTTTGCTTGTTGTGATCAGCTATGACTGGTTCAGATACGGGAATCTATTTATTAACATGTCAAATTCTAGCTTTATATTACCCTTTAGGACTAAAAGTAGGATTTGGATAAATACAGCAGTTATAAAATAGGACGGGAATAGTGAAAATACCACAACAGTATAGGTGCGTCACCACTGTGATGCTGCCCTTCCAGAATTCCACAGGTATATAAGGCTTTTGTAGTGTCTGTGACACTTGAACGACTGACTATTTACACTGATTCTGAGTGGTAGAAAATAAGGATGTCAAGTGTTTCAATTATCATCTCATTTCTGGAATTCATAAACAAATTGTAAAAATGTTCTCATTTGCCACATTCTGAAGTACTTCCTATATACAAGGCACCATTCTACACTTTAAAGCCAGCCTGGGATCTGAGGAAACAAATGACACAGTCCCAGGAAGGGAGATGGAATATGGATATAAGTAAGAACACAAACTACCCAAGTGCAAATTCTCTATATTTACTATAGAAAAGATGATAGAGTTTAATATTCAAATGAGTTTCAAGGTACACAATGATTCTCACATATATTTTATAGAGCTGTTAGACAAGCAGCAGAACTAATGCACCCTAGGGACAATTAACTCAAAGTTTTTCTTCCAAAATATAACATGGTCCTCTACAATGCTAAAATGTACTGATATTGAATCCACACTTTCTTTTCATAAAAAAAAAGTCAAGATCTTATACAACTTGGTTCAGGATATAAATTCTCAAATAATACTGAAAATACTTTATGCTTTGTTGTTCCTGGGTTTTCTTGTTATAAAGGCCCAAAATTCATAAGCATTTACTAAAGAAAAATTCAAGTTATGAAATAAATTGTGACAAAAAATAAATAAAATACATATTTCTTTACTACTGAATCCTTTCAAATAATTACTATTTGAATTTTAACTGCCCTGTTCGCTGAAGAGCCTTAAAAGGGCATTAAAAAATATCACTTAATTCAATCACATTTACATTTTAACCATTCTTAGGTACTCCAAAAGAAGTCTTTAGTACTTAACAGATATATGGGAAAAACAAAAACAAATTATAATAAAGGTTAATACTACATGTACATTTGTTCCATAGGATAGGAGAGAAATTGATATCTGATGTAAGCTCATTACATTTCCCATTGTTACTCATTATTTCTGCAGATAATCACATATCACAATAATATTTACATATTATCACATTTTAAAAGCATAAGTCATAATTCCTTGCTATTCTAAGATTAGAATTCTCTAAGATACTGAATCTTATATATTATCTTATAATATACGACTCTGTATTTATCACCTACCTATAAAATTAAAAGTCCTTTCAGAGTCTAAAGTAGAACTTGAAATTCCTGGAAAAAAAATGTTAAAAACCACACTAAAATAATGGAGATTGCAAAGCAACATTTCAGTTAAGAAACAGCTGTGTAACAGTTCTATGCAGTATATTAGCCAAAAAAAATATACACCCTTGCTCCTCCCCTAAATTATCTTCTGTACTCAAAAGTCTTTTAGGAAAAATACTCATCTTGATGCCAAAATATAAACCAACAGCATTTCTAAATTGTATAATAATGCTATCAATATAATTACTAATAAAAATAAATAGAGTATAATACAGGTTTTTTTCTTACGAATTTATATATTTCAACTTAAAGTCTGTAGAATTAAAACACATTTACTAAAGAAACTTAAAATGCTAATCAATTCCAATATAAATATACATTCTTATTGATATAAATATGATTTAATTCTCATGATATATATTTCAAAGTTTAGTTATGAAAAAATAGTTCTCCATGATTAAATTGATTATTTGTTCTTCAAAAAAGTTATAAAAATGACAGAAAAACTTAAAATGCATAAACCATTTAGTTACATGTTAGCAGTTTCATAAAAGGGAATTTTTTGTTGATGACCAAGTCACCATGCTAACACAACTGGGACAGCCAAAGGAAAAAATCAGGCAGTGAATAGACCAGGAAGGTTTTCCAGTTCCCCATGATCTATTCATTCTTTGAATGTTTTTAAAAAGTGGAAAGGTCATTTTGATGCATTTTCCCATTCTTGTTTTTAAAGAACAACAGATCCCAAACCCTACAAATAGCTTGTATTGAATTTTACATTTGAATTAAAGATTGTTAAACATGAAACAAACAAACAAAAAAAAAACAGAAGAACATTAAACAAAACAAAAAGGGTAAACTAACAGTGTGAAATGTTGTCAAAGGTATGAGACAGCCCGAATTATCTTACAATGTTGGTGAGAGGTTAAAACAGTTCACACATTTTGGAAAAGGATCTGGCAGCTTCTAAAAATGTAAATCCATATATTCTGTAAAATTTACTAATTATATTCTCTAGTATGTATTTCAGATAGAGTTAGAAAATTACAAAAGGCTTACACAATTGTACTTAGAAGTTTTGTTGTTAATAGCCAAAACTGGAAAGAGTCCAAGTTCTGGGAATATTACTAAGCAGTAACAATAAACTCTGCAATGAACATGGAAAAATCTGAAAAATAAGATAATCAGACAGAAAAAGCTATACTCTATATCACTCCATTCATATGAAACTATACATAAAAGAAAAAATTGTCATAGCAGTTGTTGGCAGTGAGATGAGCAAAGGTAAGGATGAATGAGAATAATCCAAAGAGAACATTCTGGGATAGTGGTAATCTCCAATATTTTATAAAGAAAAGTAAGAACCAATGACCAAGCAGGGCTTTTCCCAGGAATCCAACATTGGTTTAGGATTAGGAAAATGAACAATGTAATTCAACACATTAACAGTATAAACAAGAGAAATTGTATAATAAAAGCCTATGATCAAACCAATAGATGTATCAGAATTATATGTACATATGGATAAATTTAATATGGGAAACACCTGTATACTGAAAACTAAGATGTTGCTGATAGTTCAGGAAAATTAAAATATTTTATCATGCTCACAATTTACAGCCTTGATATTTATGAATTGGAAATTCTTTTTGAGAGAGAGAGAAATTCCAAGTGCTGGTTCACTCCCCACATGGCCACATTGACAAGAGCTAGGCCAATTTGAAGCCAGGAGCCAGGAGTTTCTTCAGGGTTTCTCACATGAGTGCAGGAGCCCAAGGACTTGGGTAATCTTCTACTGCTTTCCAAGGCCATAGCAGAGAGCTGGATCAGAAATGGAGCATCCAGGACCTGAACTGGCACCCATATGGGATGTCAGCCCTGTAGGCTTTACTAGCTTCGCCACAGTGCCGGCTCCCTCAGGATGTCGATTTATTTTTGTCTGACAAGCTAAATCTAAGATTTATATAAACACAGAAAAGATAAAGAAAAAACTGTTTGAAAGTAAACAAAGCCAGTTAATTTACCCTACCTGATTTCAATACTTATAAAAATATACCATCATCAGATCTATAAAGAATAGATATGAGAATATCCATATAGGTTTAACAGTACCAAATAAAAGTCCAGAATTGTATCTACACATATATGGTCAAATGAATTTCAACAAGAGTCAAATATATTTTTGTGTCAACTAAGGACAGACTGCATACAAAAAAGTAGTTCCAAAAGGTTACAAGGGAGCTCAAAAATGTTATCACTGAGTTATGTTGTAGTGTCATAGCCACTGTAACATCTTGGTGCGACACATTACGGAAATATTTGTGGTCATGCTGATGCAAATGAACTTGCTGTGCTGATAGTCCTATTCAAAGTACAGCAGTACAATTTCCACTACCTAACACTCGATAGAAAATGATGCTTCTAAAGTATGTGTGTTGCATACTCTACTTTTTGTCACTATTTTGGAATATACTCCTTTTGTATATTTAGAAACATTAATTGCATAACTTGACTCAGGCAAGGTCTCAAAGAGGTTTTACAAAAGAAGGTAACAGTTGCATGCCTATAACTGTCCTTGAAGACCTTCCAGTGGAACAAGAGGTAGAGTTGGAAGATGACATTTGATGATAACTCTGTGTAGGTCTAAACTATTTATATCTTAATTTTTAACAAAAATGTTTTAAAGGTAGGAAGAAATAAATTTTAGAAATGGAAAAAACAGAATAAATATACAATATTTTATATATTTGCATAATGTATTTAAATTTCATGTAGCCTAAGTGTATAGTGCTTACAAATACTATGTGGTGCACAGTAATATTCTAAACCTTCACTCACCGTTCAGACAACATTTGATCATGCAAGTTATTTTTTCATGTATGTACTTTTATTGAATTTTTTAATGTTACAGAGTTCTTGCACCGTGAAACCATACCTGAGAATCCAAAGAAGAAATAGTACCATGGACAGCCTCATCCACGCAAACCATATAGTAATGAAAACTTGATTCATGAACATTTTGATAAATTCACAATCCTATAAAAATTTATAATGAGTTGGAATTTAAATCTGCTGCAGATATTTATATTTCTAATAGAGTAAATAAAACTTCCACATATTCATCAGTTTATTTCTCAATCATAGAATCCCCCAACAAAATTTTGCTGGAAAAAATGCATACATCTCAGAGAAAATATGTGGCTCAAGTCCAAGATATTATTGGTTAAGCTTTTTGGTTCCCAAATGATGTCCTCAGTTTAGCCAAGAATTCCTTGTTTCCTGTTTCATTATCCAACCCAACTCTGGCTGGCTCAGCTACTCACCCACACAGGCGGGAAGGCAGGTGGGCCACAACCTCAGAACACAGCAACTTTATTGCCCAGAGTGGCTGGCAGGTCCTGTCAGGAGTTCCTATAACCTTACTAGGAGTCCACTCCTGTGCTGACACTTTCATCAAGACTGGACTCTGGTGAGGCAAGTGCTCTCATATGAGCACAGTTTCATTCACTCATTTGCTTCACTCTTGTCAGCAGCAAGTCTGAAACTCCTGAACTTAGTGAAAGAATTTATTATAGAGAAACCCAGACTGCAACAAATGGTCACACAACACTTTGAAATATTTCTCTTGAACCAATGATATAAAATCAGAAAATGGCCAGACTATCTCCTTTGGTGGAAAGAAACTTCAGTAATCCTCGGTAGCTTCCTCTAGTCCCTGTCAAGGAGTAAAAACTACTGGATGTCTTAAGCTGTAATTACTAAAACAGAAGTGCTAATAACTGAGCACCAAAAAGGAAACCTGTTAAAGAGAAATTAACACTAGGAGAAACGGTGACTTGATCAGCCCTCACCCTGTTGATGAGCAACTTAATATGTTATCCCTCTTAGTATTTTTTTTGTTTGTTCTACTTAATACTTTTGGTTGAATACTGTAATCAATACACAATTCTTCTTAAGTGCTGAAACTTAACTGAAAAGTGATCACTGTTAAATATAAGAGTGGGAATAAGAGAGGGAAGAGATGTGCAATTCGGGACATGCTCAAGCTGACTTACCTCAAACGGTAGAGTTAGAAACATACCAGGGGATTCCAATTCAATCCCATCAAGGTGGCATGTACCAATGCCATCTCACTAGTACCAGTGATCAATTTCTGTTCACAATTGATCGTAATGATAGGTGTAAGAACCAAAGGGATCACATAAACAAGAATAGTGTCTGCAAATACTAGCTGATAGAATCAAAAAGGAGAGAATGATCCAACATGGGAAGTGAGATACACAGCAGACCCATAGAATGGCAAATGTCCTAACAGCACTCTGGCCTCATAATCAGCCCTTAAGGCATGCGGATCCAGCTGAAATGCCCATGACAGTATTTCAGGCATGGAAAGTCAAGACACTCTGGGGGAAAAAAAAACCTAAATGAAAGCTCTCCATGAGTGAGATCCCAGTGGAAAGAACAGGTCTTCAAAGAAGGAGGTACCTTTCTCTGAAGGGAGGAGAGAACTTCCACTTTGACCATGGCCTTGTCTAAATATGATCAGAGTCAGTGAACTCAGGGGGCTTCCATAGCCTTGGCAGCTCATGACAAGAGCCTAGGGTGATTACTGATGCCATAAACAAGAGCGTCAATTTGTTAAGTCAACAACAGGAGTCACTGTGCACTTACTCCTCATGTAGGATCTTTGTCCTTAGTGTGCTGTACATTGAGATTTAATGCTCTAACTAGTACTCAAACAGTATTTTTCACTTTATGTTTCTGTGTGGGAGCAAACTGTTGAAATCTTTACTTAATGTATGCTAAACTGATCTTCTGTATATAAAGAGAATCGAAAATGAATCTTGATGTGAATGGAAGGGGAGAGGGAGTGGATAAGGGGAGGGTTGCGGGTTGGAGGGACGTTATGGGGGGGAAACCATTGTAATCCATATTCTGTACTTTGGAAATTTATATTCATTAAATAAAAGTTGAAAAAAAAATAAATAAAACAGAAGTGCTACATC